TATTTATATTTAATTTGCCCTCATTCTTTTTAATGATCGCTCTATTGAATATGGGCTTTACAGTAGCCTAACATGCTAGGACTTTAGTACATTTATATAATTCATGAATAAATCTACATATATTTGGGGTGCACGGTCAGAAAGTATTTATGACGGTGTCATTTGATCCATCAGATCTGCTGATCACAATTTAGGGAGAGTGACCCTGGGAGAGGCAGAGAAAATGCCATGCTGGTTGAGAGCACACTCCATTTCAGATCCGTTTTGTAGGAGCGCATGAATTCTTGCTGTAATTCAACCTCGATAAATGGCAGTTGTGTTTCTCAGGCACCCTTACCTCTCCTTAAGAGCCCTCATCTGGCTGTAAATCACCTCTGAGGTGGCATGTCTCCCCCAGGGAAACAAATTTCTTGAGGTGATTGCCAGCCAGGCAAAGTGGTTCTTGATATTCAGCCTGAAACCTGGGGGTTCTGAAGGGTGCTCTCCTTCCTGCCCTGGGAGCTGGGTGCGCAGTAGCTGGGTGTGCAGCCACCTCCGTGATGTGTCCTCCTGCATCTCCTCTGTGATCCGCTGGGGACTCCCGACCTAATGCTTTATGTGTCTCTGAATCTGCCTGTCTCAAACACCCTTCTCCTGGACATTTTTGTTCACTCTTGGGGTACAGCAGGATGAGTGGTTTAACCATTCTGGATGTCACACACCTGTCGTGTGATTCATTTTTATACCCTGGAGGAGTATCTGGTGTAGACAGGAAGGAAGTCGGGGTGAAGGAGAGAGTCAAGTGGAGAGAACTGAGTAACAACTTACCTAGTTCACTTAGAGTTGACCAGCCGCCACCATCCCTCCAGCCTTTCTTACCCTTCTCTTCCCTCTCCTTTTCTCCCTCCCCCTCCTTCGTCTTATGCCACCCCCTTCCTTCCCTCCCTTCTCCTTTTCTCGCTCTTCTCTTCCCCTCTTCCCTCTCCATCTTTCCATCCACCTCCCTCCTACCTTTCCCCCCAATTCTCTCCTCCTTTTCTCTTCCCTTCCTTTCTCCCTCTCTCTCAGTAATCAAACAGGGAAGTTCCTTTATATAGAAAGACGGTTAAACCTTTCATGAAGTGAGCAAATTTTTCCATAGGTAGATTAGTAGGATAAGAATTCATGCCTTTTGGGTATCGGTGCTCCACACCTCAGATCTAGTGAGGTATTGGGGGTCTGTGGAGAAGCCATCCTGACCATAGTGAGAACTCTAACAAGAATTTACAGACCTGCCTCACCGATACAGACCGGTTTAAGGATCTGGGCACAGAATGTGGAGAACAGCAGCCAAAGTCCCCTGCTCCCAACTCTGTATGTCTTTTCTGCTCCTCTGACCTCCGAACCCTGTGTTCAGGCACAGCGCCTTCATGTTGCTGAATTCCCTTGTGATTATTTAAAATTCCTCATGAATATTTGCAAAAGTGCTAACTTGAAGGTAAACTGATTAGACGGTGAGGAAATCAAAAACAAAAACAGCCCAGTGAGTCACCTAATGTCATTGGGCTGGGATGTCAGGCACAAAGGGGCCCGACCTCTGCGCTGCTCTGCATCGTGCCCGACCACAGCTGAAGGCAGTGCCTGGGGAATCGGCTCTGAGCCACGTCACGCCTCCTGCAGGCAAAGGAGTCACAGGCACCTGGACTCTGAACTCCCTCCTGCATAGGACAGCTGCCCGTGTGCAGGGAACGAACCAGGCATGTGCAGTGTTTCAGGGAAAATAACCAAAACTTCGGTGTTATTTGTTGAAGAAACAAAATAGTTAAAAGAATACAGCAAGAGAAAAACCAAACACTTTGAAACGAGGAAGCCTAACCTTGAGTGCCCCTGTTTCTGTCTCCTCTCTTCTCTGTCCTTTCTGGACCCTTCACAGCATTGTTACCTATGCTGGGCCAGCCAGTTCCTGTGTGAGATTGATCTGGAACAAAGATCTCTGGTACTAGGAAATGCCAGGCTTTAGATTTATTATTATTATTATTATTATTATTATTATTATTAATTTTTGTTGGGTTTTATTATTATTATTATTATTATTATTATTATTATTGTTATTACTATTATTAGGTCTTTGGGACTGGAAGGCATTTTGAATTTCTGAACACTTAGGTGCCTTGTTCATATTTACATATATATATTTTTGTACCAGGTCTCCGTGTGAAAGAACAGAGAGCCCTGTGAGTGATCCATAGCATTAAATAGCTGATGCCCACTAGTGTTTCAGACAGGGCCCTGGGGTAGCTTGCTTTTCCTGTGGCACCCCTCTCATTCTGAACGTTCCTGAAGGGCACCCTGGCCTTGTCTCCGTCCACATACATACTGAAGAGCTATTAAAACTTGCACTGTCTCCCTGTTTCTCAGTATCGAAGCTGACCACCTTGACTCCAGCCTCGGCTGTCGGGAGCCGTGAGCTCTCAGTGTTTGTAACTGACGTCCAATTAGACCTTTCTCCCAAGCAGCTCCTGCAAACACAGGAACTAGGGGAGGAATTGAGGTTCATTGGCTAGTCGCAAACTACCTGGTCCAAGAAACCTGTTGTATATACCACAGTAAAGAGTTCAGCACAGTCACAAGTGTGCTGACTCTCAAGTTGAGGGCACGTCTTCACGCTTCTCTTCAGCAGGTGTATCCTTCCCAGTGTTTCTCATCAAGGAGCTAGCAATAAGGTGAACCCAACACAACTTGGTGTTACACATGCACGTGCGTGCGTGTGTACACACACACACACTTCCATAAATGAATCTTTCCTCCTAGGCCCCACCACTCCATGTATCCTTAGTTCCCTTTGAAGGAAATTCATGTCTCACTCTCCTTCTGTACTGCATCTTGCACAGCAGTGAACTCACTGGGGCACCAGTTTAATGAAACAATCATTGCAAGCATGGCTAGGTGGTGGTGTCTCACGCTTTTAATGCCAGCACTCAGGAGGCAGAGACGGGTGGATCTCTGTGAGTTCGAGGCCAGCCTGGTCTACAGAGCGAGTTTCAGGACAGCCAGGGATACATAAGAAAAACCCTGTCTTGGGGGCGGGGGGGAAAGACTTTCAAGCATGTTTGATTTGATTCGAGGTGATAGAAGTGGAGAATTGTGAGTGCTTTTTAGTCAAGTTTAAAGGGACGAAAAGGTGGAAAGAAAAAAGTAGGTCAAGTACTGTAACTGGGTAATGTTTTCTTAACTGATGTGTGGTGGGAGATGTGTAGCCGTTGAAAATGCAGAAAGATGCATACATCCATTATACTGTAGCTTGAAAGTGTGTGTGTGTGTGTGTGTGTGTGTGTGTGTGTGTGTGTGTGTGTGTGTGTGCACGCGCGCGCGCGCATGCGTGTGCGTGTGGTATGTACGTGCTCGTGTGGCTATGTCTATGTGTGCATGCAGGTGCGTGTGCAGATGTGTGCTCATGAATGTGTGTTCTGGCCAGAGGTCAGAGGCCAGAGGTCAGCATCAGGTGTCTTCTTCAGTTGCTCTCCACTTTGGTTTTTGAGATAGGATCTCTCCCTGAACCCGGAGCTCACCAGCTTGGCTAAGCTGGCTGCCTGGCTGGCTGGCTTGTGAACTCCGGGGGTCAGCTTGTCTCACTCCCTAGTGCACGGCTGTACCCAGCTCTTTGACAGGGCGTCCGGGATGCTTATTTATATGCCTGTGCTTATGCATCTAGCACTTCAGTGAACCGTCTCCCTGGCCCTCAAATTGTATACTTTATAATATTTACCAATAATATGAATCTCCCGTGTGCCAGCTACCGTTTCTAATTAGTGTGTAACATATAAGCTAGATTGTTAATTTTTACAAACCTTTTAGGAGTACACGTTATTGTCATCTCTGAGAAAACAGGAGCCCAGAGAACTTTGTTAACTTGCCTAAGGTTAGACAGCCACCCAAGATTAATCACCCTTGCCTGTGGCCACACGTAGGACCACAGGAAGGTTGACGGTGGACCCTAAACCACTGTACTCACCAGGCTTTCAGCGGCAGGGGCGTCACGTTAGGATTTCATTGGACTTTCAAACATTATTTTTTCTACTTAATGAGGACCAGCTCCCTATATAGTTAGAAGGATAAATATTTGTCCTATTTGATGACAGATGTGATGGGTTTAAAAAAAAAAAAAAAAAAGCCCCCGACAAAGTCATGCACGTTTTCTTACATATTCCTCCATCTGTATTTACTCTGTGAAAAGGTCACTTGAGCACAAGTGCTCAGATTTCATGTTTCTCCACAGCTTCTCTGCGGCTAAAACTTGCTCTACAAATTGACTTCTAAAATATCTTGTGATGATGTATATTGTTGTCCAGTATTAACACTCTAGAAGAGCCACCGAGTCATGGGAACCTCCTAACGAGGACCTCTGGGAGGTTTCCCCATGAATGCCAGGAATTGGGAAGTGATGGTTGTCTTTCTCTCAGTCGGTGGTCCTGCTGTCTGTCCATCCAGTCCCATTTCCTGGAAGGAACATGGGTTCTGGGAGGCGAAGGTGTTTCTCTCGTCCCTTAGCTACCTGGCTATGGTTTGCGGTGGGAGAGCGGGGGAAGGGAGAGAGAGAGAGGGAAAAAAAAAGACTGAAATAGTAAATGACTGTAGGTTCTTGAGAAAAATAGAGTTAGAAGCATTTGTGGTCCGGATGAAAATAGCACGTTTCCTTTCTGCTTGGACCATGGGGCTCAGAGTGCTCCGGGGAATAGAAAATAAATAAAAATTGATTCCTCACCAGTTGAAGGAAATGCCCTGGCTCTGGGAACTGAAATGACAGCCCCAGAATTGAAGAGCTTGTAAAGCCACTTTTGAAGGTTAAAAAAAGGGGGGGGGGGGGGGGGAGAAAGAAAACTCAACACCAGGAGGCTTTTAAAAAAAAAGTGACATTCTATATTAGGGAATCTAGTCTCCCTAAAATGATCTGAGAGGCTGTTTTCTCCAGCCACCAGGCAGCAGAACCCGAGCAGGCGTGAGGTCCTTCCTTGCTGACCATGGTCCTTCCGTATCTTCTGCAGGTGAGAAGCCTTACAAGTGCTCATGGGAAGGATGCGAGTGGCGTTTTGCACGGAGCGATGAGCTCACAAGGCACTACAGGAAACACACAGGTGCAAAGCCCTTTAAGTGCAACCACTGTGACAGGTAAGGCCACCCGGAAGCTACCGGACTGAGGAGGGAGACCGCGCTGTAGGTTGGAGGCTGGTCCGTGCGTGTGATGTGCGAGTAGTCACAGGCCCGTCTCACCCCCAGCTCCATGGCCTTGGCAATACCTTCTACGTTCTCTACTGCTTAAAAAAAAAGTGAGAAGAAGCATACTCTTACATGGTATAAATTCGGGTTCTCAATTTGGTGGCATAGCATTTGCTCAGCATTGGCCTTTAACCAACAGTGCTGGTCACTGGGTAGAAACAAGACATCAGTACCCCTCCCTCACGCGGAAGTGATGAGACAGAAAATTACAGTATACTGGAAAAGGTAATAGAATATCTCATCATAGTTGCTTCTTCTGATCTTTTTATTATCATCCATACCACCTTCCCTCATCTTTCATAGTGAAGGGGGGCGGGGTTGTCGATTGATGGAAGAAAGGCTCATTTCTAAGACTTTTATCTGAAGCGTTATTGGAAATGAGTTTACTAAAGGAAGGGCCTATTCTTTGGACATCTGGACTATTCCTTCCTCGATGAAGATATGCTCAAGGGTCCAAAGATGGCCAAACTCTGCAAACTCATCCTGTAATTCAATTTCAAACCTTCAGCATTTGATAGTGGAAGGATCACGTAGCAGCAGATAGTAGCCAAGTAATAGTATCTGACAGCCCTGGCATTATCAGCCGATAAACCCCAAAATGGAGACTCTGCAGGCCAAGGTGAAGGCAGGATTAGGTTTAGACATAATCAAATAATGGGCTTGCATCTGAGCATGTTATCCGTCTAATCCTATTTCTGTGTTTAAAAGGAAGCTTAAGAAAATTAACCATCTTTTTAATGCAATACTAAAGGTCTCAGTTATGATGAGAAAAATGCTTCTAATACAATAAAAGCCCCTGAAAGCCTCAGGGTTCCCTGGCTTGGACAGCAGCTTGCCGGATGGCAGGATTGGGGGGGGGGGAGCAGGATGTCCACAGAGGCCTGGCTGTCCTTGGGAGGAAATGAGATCTCTCTCACTTCCTGCCTCTCCCAGTCCCTGTGCTCCACACCTGCATGTCCCACTGGCCAGGCCTTCCTCTGAGAGTTTGCTTGCTTGGAGAGTAGAGCAGGCATGTCCAAGTCCACGCTCTGCCAAGTTGGCCTGGTGTTCTTTGGGGATGCTTATAAAGGACAGTTGTGTTTTTCCTCCCCCCATTCTTCCTGAAGAGGCTATTTCCCTCTTATCTTCATCCTCTGAGAACTAAATAAGGACCCCATGCCTCCTGGAGTGCGGAGATAACCTCCCCCACAGGCCTGAGGAAGTGAGCTTCTAGCAGCTCTTGTCAGCCACTGCCTGGAGAGCTGTGTCTGCTACCCGGGTACACAGCCCTTGTTCCACAGCCATTCCATTCCCTAGAAGGCCTCTGGAGTGCAGCAGCCTTTCTTCCTCAGGGTGTCCCGTCCGTGTGTCTCGGTGTTGGACACCATCCTTCAGCCTCTATCCCCCATGGCCCCGGTTCAGTCCTCCCCAGCCCTGGCTAATGAAGAAGCCGACAGGTGTTGGCTCTGCCCTTCACGGGCCTGTGAAGAAGAAGAGCGTTTCACTGTTATCAACTGGGGTGAGGATGAATTCTTTGTGAGCTGTCACCATGTAGCAGCAGGAGTCACCCCGTCTCTGAAGGGTGTGGAGGCTGGGACTTGGAGCCGGTGGCATTATGGGTTGCCCTGGTGCTTAGAAGCGGACAATGAGCACTTGTGAGGAAATTGCCAGATCACAACCCACTGATGAATTCCTAACTTGGAGCAGCCGATACATTAGCAGTCAGTCACCCCCTTGTGTGACGGATGTGGGAAAATATTCCAGGCCTGTCGGGTGTGAAGGAAATGGCAGTGATGGGTAACCTGGTTAGTCACTTGCCTTGTTTTCCTCATCAAAATACACCGAGGTCTTTGCAGATGGGATTTGCCGCAGGACGGCACCAGTTCTGCAATGCGATACTGAGGGGGCGTTTGAGTAAGCCAGAGTCCCAGGCCCTAGGTCAGGAGAACATTTTCAACCTCAGGAATGAATGAGGGCTGGAACTCACTGGTGTCTCCTGACAGGGCTGTACCTCTCATTTCACTCCTCAGGGAGCTAAGAATAGACAGGTCTGGGAACTGTCGTGAGGCCCCAGGGCAGATGAAAGGAAGCCCTGGAGTGATGGGAAGCTGCCGTTCCTGAGGAGACTTTGACCTTTGCAAATGGAGGCTGTCTGCAGCTGGTAGCAGGATCCTGTGCCCTGATGGCTTCACAGTGTGTGTGAATGCCTTGCTGCTGGCCTCAGACTTTGAGCAGTCAGCCCCCTTTCTGTAGAGGCTACATGAGGTTTAACCTCCCTTTTCTTAAAACATATACCATGTATAATGTACACTTTTATTTTGTGTGTGTGTGTTTTAAAAATACAGGAGGTAATTATATGTATTTCTTTTCTTTGCTCCTGCTTAAAATTGTTAAGTGTCACATACCAAACAAGTCCGTATGTCTAGTTTGATCTAGAACAGTTGTATCTGGCCACCATAGGCTCATATTCCCAGCTGATTGTCAGGGACTGGAGCTGAATAATGGTCACATGTTGTGACGGTTGTTTTTCTGCTGTCCCCACCACTCCCTGTTGCCTCTCCAGCATGAAAACAAGTCATTTGTTGTCTGGTACTCCCCTGCTTTCTGGGTTATCTCCTCTAACAAGGAGCACTGTTTCTTCACACCTAATGCCTTATCCCAAGTGGAAAGAGAGAGTCTGGGAGTGCTGTGCGCTTTTTATACTTGGCTCAATGCCCTTACACGCTTCCCCCTCCTGGCCCCTGAAGACACTGAGTTTTGTGACCTCAGGCTTCAGGTTAAGGTTGGAGGGGAAACCAGTGAGGTGACTGTACCACCACATCCTCATCATCAGACAGAACCTAGTATAGCCCATCGAGTGATCCAGTGCCGGAGGGACAGGCCCTGTCCCAGCCAAGAGAGCGTGAGGCTATTGATGGTGGTATAGAGGACTCAGTTCTACAGGCAACAGGCGGAGTAACACTCCTCCCAATAGGCTGTTAGAATCTGGGGGGACTGTTATCAAGGTGATCCTAAAAGGTCTTGGATAGTTGAGAGGGGGTGTTTTAGTATTTATAGCAGTACACCTTTAGATGACAAAGAGTAGTAGCTGCGTTTCAGCCTCATAGTCTCCTAGAGGGTTGCAGTTGGCTTAACACACATTTGACCTCAGAGGGTCCTGACCATAGGCAAGAGAACGATGTAGGCTTTGACTAGTCCTCCGTAATATACCAGTTTCAGTCACTAAAGACCTTGTTCTGAAAGCCGTTAGGCTGTGGTGCCATTATGAATGCTTCCTGGGGCGTGGGAGCCTTCAAACGACTGGATTCTGCACTTCTAGACTTCTAGATGCCCAGTTTATCTATTCCTCTTTCCTGTTTCTATGCAGAGCTCAGTAAGTATAGACTGATAAATGAAAATTAATCTTGACTGAGTACCTAACCTGGTGTATTGAATTTGAGTGGAAACCTTAATTGTGGGGAATCTGGTCTAAGTCTAACTATCAAACATTTCCTGGAATTTGAGCCAATGAAGATGCTTGTTTGGGTCAGTTGGCACGCAGCTGTATTTCATACCAGACTAAAGGGCTTGGCTTTTTTTTCCTGAAAAAGATTGAAGGATAAGGGTAGATAGTTGAACATATATGGCTAGATGTCCTGCCATAGGAGAAGCAGAGGAGAAGCTGAACACACGCAACTAATAATGTTCTACATCAGGGAGATATCCCCAGGACCTGAGAAGAAAAGCAAAGGGGCTCACCCCTCTGCCACGGCCCCTCCCTCTTCATCTCACCAGTTCAATATACTAGAGACAGACTGGACAGACAGACAGACAGACAGACTGCTCTGTTGTCTTCTCTCAGGTCCTAATTCCACCCTAACCACTGATCCTCTGGGTTGATGTTCTGGTTGTTATGACAACCTGGGACCACAGATGTCTCATGTTTATTTACATTACAAAATCATCCTCTTGCTGGTCTGTAGCTTCCAAGTTCAATAGAAGTTCCTCTCACTGGGCTGTGGTCAAGGTGTTGGCAGCCTTCATTCTATTCTGGAGGTTTTAGGGGAGGAGTCTATTTCTTGCCTTTTTCTAGGGTCTCATTGGAGGAGACTCCAAATCCTCCATCTTCAAAGCTGCTCTGTCTCTTTCAACCGCCTTTTCCATTTTTAAGGACTGTGCTTTGATGATGGAGGGTTAGAGTCTCCAGAAATGACATAGGCAGCCTGTTGGTGCTAGAAAAAAGCAAAAGAGGTGGGAATTGGGGGAAGGAAGGAGAAGAGACAGTGGGCCCCCATGACAGTATGGAATTGTGCAGGTTAAAAGCTGAGTTCTCCGAAGACCATTTAGCTATATCACTATTTTACAATAAATCAAATCTGTTTCAGAGTTAGTTCAGCAGGATTGTCTATATAGCTGTTCACTCCAAATTAGGGCCTAAAATAAGCTGGTGGGGCTGGGGTTGTTATCCGGGTATCCTTGGGTTAGGTTGGTTTCTGCTGTGGTTTTCCCATTCGGTAAGTTTTTCATAGTCTTTCTTATTTCTCCTCATCTCATTTCACAACATCTGTTGTGCGTGTGTACCTATTTAAGGAATGGGCACAAACAGAGGGTGTGGAGACTGTTGGGGTCAGGGGACAGGGTGGATTTGTGATTTGTTTGTTTTAAGAATGAACAAGCGCAAGGAAGTCTTGCTTTGGACAGGAAACTCTGCAAACCTGAATGGGTGGCTTGCTAATGTCCTAGCCAGGGTTTTGAGTGTTGGGGCTATCTCAGGCTACAGGGATGCCTAGGAATGTTTTTATAGGCAAAGCGAGGACTGGCTTAAGGAAAGAGGGAGAGAGGGAGGGCACACAGCCAGGGTCATGCATGGCTGTTGTTTTACATGAACATAGCTGGTACTCCAGCCAGAACCTAAGATTGCACAGTGTTGGAGCATGGAAATGCTTATACTATACTAATGGTAAGATACAGAACCCTGCTTTAGAGTGATGTTAGTGTAAAAGGTTATTTATTAGCTCAGATAACTATCAGGAATGGAATTCAGTTTGTCTTGAAGGTTGGCTGAATCCAGGTTCTCAGATACCATCTGGATTTTTATCCCCCTTCCACCCTCTTCCCTGCCCACTTCCTTCTCCAGAAGGCTTTTCCACAGCTACAATATAGGCACTAGCAACGCCACGCTCATCTCGTAGCAATTTAGCATTCCGAGTTGAAGGAGCACGTCTCCCTTCCAGTAATTTCAGCAGCTAAGAACTGCCATTGGCTTCTGGGAGTCATCTGACTGTTGCTTAGCAATCAATGCCTCCATAGCTTTCACCTTAGAAGGAAGGTCAGCTTTATACTACTGAGAACGTAAAAGGGTTTCTACCCAAGAGACTATCATGTGTCTACTATCAGTAAAGAGGAAGGAAGATGGCCATAACATCTGCCAAGGAAGGCGCTCGATTATAGAACTGAAGCACCAAGTGTTAGTCCAAAAGCCCCAGTCCCAGTTCCTATGTAGCCTCAGCTCAGCTCTTTAACACACAGAGAAACAGACAGACAGATGCACACACAGAGACTGACTGACTCACCATGGAGCTGTCACTAGGGTAGTGTTGAGGATACTCTGGCACATTCTACATACTATAAAAACATACTCAGTCTGTGAACACCGTTCTCCATTCTTTGCCTTGACGTGAGTATATTATGCCTGTGTGAGCCTGGGAATTACAGGTAGTACATTCCTGGGCTTTCGTGGTGAAGCTTGAGACTGCAATCTGGGTGTTGAAACGTCCGTGTTCCACTATCTGATGATACAGGCCAATTTTTCGTTATTGTATTTACAGTGTATGAGCGTGACGTACGTCTGGAAGCACTTCCACATTCGTTCCGTCTTAGATAATTATAGTTATAATCATAACAGTTAACATGCATTGACATCCTGCTCCATGTGCCGTGATATTCTTATACTCGTTTTTGTTTAATCCTTTGCACAAGCCTAGGAGAGTGCTGTGAGCATCCCTGTGTGAGCAGAGCCACACAGCTCCTGGAAGAGCTAGGGTTTGAACTGAAGCAGTTTAGCCATGCTGGCTCCTCCAGTACATTTCCTCATCTCTCCGTAACTCATGGGTGCCGTCTCTCTTTAAGACTGATCATTTGGTAAAAGCTGGACCTCTCTAACGAGCTTCTTTGTTTATCATTCTAGGTGTTTCTCCAGGTCTGACCATCTTGCTCTCCATATGAAGAGACATATCTAAACAAAACAAAACAAAACAAAACAAAAACAAAAGTAACCAACAACAACAAAAACAACGAAACACCGTCAAGGCCAGAGTTGCCATGGCATCAGCCAGTGTCCAAAGGAAAGGCCGTGAGGCAGAGGGCTGGACTTCAGGCGGGGAGCGCTGCCTCGCAGAAGAAAGTTCTCGCTTACAAACCTCTGTGTACATACTTGTACACGCACACGTACACACACCCTCTCACACACAGACCCACACACAGACCCACTGTCATGCACTCAACTATATTTAAAGTATATACGTCTATTTCTTATGCCTTGCCCTAGCCAGATGGTAGAAGACGAAGAAGGAAGGCAGGCAAACTCAGCGAGGTGCTGGCTGCTGACTCCAGCACTATTGGAATTACTTCCCGCTGTTACCAATGGAAAAAAAAAAAAAAAAAAAGAAAGAAAAGCAAATGGATGTCTCCATGGTGGCCGGCAGTACGAGGGGCTTACATAACTGCTTCTCAGTGCAACTTGATAAGAGAATCCAACATCTCATGGTTGCATATGTGTAGCACTAACGTTTCTTTTTAAGTAGTTGGGGGAAATTGACCTAGAAAACCAAATTGCAGTTTGGTAGCCAAACTTAACTCCTGGTTTATTTGTCCTTTGTGTGTGAAAAGTCCTACTATTCCGTGCGTCACACTTCCTCCCGGAACTCTCGGTCGGTTTTGGTTCTTCTTAGGACCACTGAGATCTTTTGAGTCGGTACCAACGGCCTTAGCGGCGGCAGACTATGGATTCACATCTTACACCTTTCTGGCCTGCATCTCTCTAGACTTCACTCTCAAGGGAGGAATTTTCTTTTCTTACCTTTTTGACTCTCGCACATCATATGCACTAGGGATTCTGGAAACTTCTAGCATGACTGCAAAGTGGCCAAGAGAATAAAGTCCTTGATGATAAGTCACAGTACACCCCTTGAGCCTCACCTCCTTGCCAGTGCTAGATTTTTTCTTTTTAATCTCTCTGATTTTTGCTAATGGAAACTTGAAAAAAAAAAAAAAAAAGCTTATTTGGAAGCTTAAATGTTTTATCTTTTCTCCATGGACTAAACCTCTCCAGGACTCTCCCGGAACCTGGATGTCCAGCTCTCGAAGCAGCCAATCAGATGGGACATCACAGTTCTCTCATCCCTCCTTGAGGCGTGATGACCTCAGCTCACAGTGAGCAGCTCCTGTGCTGTGTCACTGTCACCACGCTAACCAGTTACAGCATAGATGTCACTAGTCTCAAAGGGCAGCTGCGCATTTACTCTAACTCTGGGTTATGACCTGACAAAAAGCCAAAAATAATCACTCTGTCCAGGAGTGGAGGAATCTGAGGGTGCCTCCCAAGTCTAGAGGCTTCACAAAACATCATCCCATCCCTTCCCTCTTACCCACTGAGCTCATGGTACCCACTTGTTAAATACATATTTCAACATCCCATTGTGGGAATGAAGGCTGTCCATGTAGGAAAGGATGGAGGTGTCTCTCTTGTGATGTGTCTAGGGCTTGGGGGGTGCTTTCTTTGGGGGGAGGGGAACTGGTTCTTTTGGCTCGGCCCACCATGGCTTGTGACCTAAAGCACCCAGGATCAACAGAGGCCTCATATTTACTCTGAAAGCTGACTCCAAGGGGATTGTATTGCTCACTTGCATTTCATACACATACATCCAATGTTGATTTCTATCTTCCCGAATTCTTAGCTAGCTGGCACTGGTCTAAACTCCAAAGACTGCCTTTAGGACCATCAAATGTCCTATGCAAGCAAGCGGGGTGGTTATTAGGGCAGATTGTATATTTTGTATATTCTGGGACCATCCCTTCAAGACATGTCTAACAAACAAAAATGGCATTTGGTCCACACATGGTTGCTGCTCCTGCATACCAGCTGGCTCCCTCCCGCCCTCCTCTGACGGCTTGACTCATTGACTGTTAAAATGCGACCCCGTGCATATTTGGGATGCAAAACTGAAGTCTTTGAAAGGAAATAATAGTAACAATATAAGCCACACAAACACACAATGACAGCAACCTTCAGGATCCTTGGCGCTTGGGTTCTCAGCTTTCTACAACTTTGTTTCACTGAAATGTTGAATCTACTCGTCTGAGGGTGAAGGGACCTCCTTGTCACAAATGCTATAGCTTCCAGTTGGACACTTGGAGCATTTTGAGGTCTGGCCTTTAGAATTTTCTTTTTTCTTTTACTTCTTTTTTTATTTCAATTTAGACCAAAAATAAATAATAATAATAATAATAATAAAAGAAACCACCCTGAACACACATACACACACACACACACACACACACACACACACACACACACACACACACTCCATTTGCCAGAAGCAATTATGTATATGTTAGTTGGAGGGTATTAAAGAAAAAAAAAGAAATCTGTTTTATTCCAAAGATTTAAAAGTGGACATGACTTAGATACTGGAGCACTGCTTACTGACAATCTCATTCTCTCCTACATTTGAGTGCATTTTGCAGCCAGTCCATCAGGGCAAACCATGGGATTATATTTGAATGTGTGGTGCATCCTTTTCGGATGAAGGATGTGTGAGGGACCTTGAACCTCAGCTGTATGGAACTGTAGCACCTCCAGTCCGTGCACTAGATGAAACTTTAGACTACCCGAATTCTGTTGCTTTGTTTCTTTCCCCTTTCTGCAGCCCCCAGCATGAATGCACGCACACGCCAGGGATGGCATTAAGCCATGGCTGCCACGATTTACCGATGTTCTCTCCCAGGCTGGGGCTGCTCTTGCTCTCAAAATGTTACTACTAAGGTTTATAGTACTTAATTTAAATTTTGTACGGATCAATGCAAGGCCCTATTTAAAAAGGAAAAAAAAAAAAGAGAAAAAGAAAGAAAGAAAAAAAATACGCAAAAGAGTTATCGTTGCTCTCTGTCCCTCGTCACCCGTGGTTTCATTGGAATGTGGCGGAACAAAGGCTCCTTGGTCCTCTTTGGTGTCGGAAATGTTTGGTAATTTCTCTTTTGTATCAGTGAGGTCCTTTGTAATCTGCTCCTGTCCTCTCTCGGAGCAGGGTGCCCTGAGATGCCATGATGGTGCTTGCTTGCTTCAGAGTCCTTTGCTGACTGTGGGAATTGGCCTGAGAATTTGGTAGGTGCTAAGCACGTGGCTTTGAATCTGTTCTTCTTGAGCCCCACTGGACACCTGTGGAGGATAACCGGCCCTCAGCGTGGGGTGGGCAGCCCTTGGACCTTTTAGAAATAGGTTTGTGAGAAACCATCAGTCCTTTCTCAAATTTCAGAGGTGGTCTCTTGGAGCCTCTGGGGGCAGGGGAAGCAGGTTTTCCAAGAAATAACCTCAACATATATTTTGCTCCCAGGAGGACTGGTTATCTGGAATGATGTAATGGACATTGGAAACACAAAATCCCTTTCACTATTTAAAACATTACCTCCCAGCAGTCCAAGGGATCTCAAATTTGAAAGGACAAACTTGGCATAGTGTGTCATAGGCTGTCCTCGGGCACTCTATCCAGGGTCCAGAGTTGGCTGCGTAGAAGACGTGTTTAAAGCCACTGGCGATTTCTTTACTTCAAGTTACGCCTCTGTCTCCTCCACAAGACCGTCAGGGATGTGGAGACCTGACGTTGTAATGCTGCTCCTTGCTCCTGGCCTCCTGGCCCACTGTCGGCTCACTGGCCCAGCTTCATGCCTCACGGTGATGAGCATTTTGTCCAGAAAAAAAAACGAGAGAGAGAGATGTTTGAATTCCATGATAAAGCTGCATTTTTGTAAAACTATTGGAGACCCCAAAAATGACCTTCATGCTGGCCATTTTCCCGTCCTTCCCAAATTCCTTCATAGAGTCCTTCCAACACTCCTCTCTCCCCGCCATCACCTCCCCACGCGCACCTCCTCTACCTTCTTTCATCTTTAATTGCCTGATGATAACAGGGTAAAAAGACAGCCAACCTCATGCCTGATGAGCAGAATGGATTCTTAGGGTTTTGTTTTGTTTTGTTTTAATTTTATTTTTTAAAATCTTCTTTGAAATCAGAGAAGAGCTTATTTGGGGACTTGAATTTGGGATAAACTTCCAAATGATCCATGTCTATTTGCATCCAAGGGAAAATAATTGGGGTTGGGGTTTGGGGCTAACCCCATGCATTCAGAACATCCTGCCTGCAGCCTCCACTCCTGCCTGCCGTGGGAAAGCCCAAAGACACAGATTGCCAGGGCAGACCTCAGTGATTGTTTTTGATAGTTCTGAGTGATTTCCTTTCTGGAAGTCACTTCGTAATGTACAAGCAGGAACTACTTTTCTCTCCTCTTTTGCGTACGTTGCTCCAAAAGGACAAAGGTGGGTAGCATGTAATCCATTTGAGCACACAAATCATCTGTTTTCTCTCCCTTGAAAAACTGAGAAACAAAAAGACCCCCCACATCCACATATGACTGAAATCTTGCACCCAGAATATTTAGTCCAAATGGAAATTTAGTAAGTCGGACCTGGCTGAAATAAATTCATGAAAATTTCCCCTCAAATTTTTCTCTAAGCGGCAGAAGTTGGGGCAGGAGGATCCCTTGTTCTGAGTGTCCTGGTTGCATTTCGGGAAACATGGGTGATACTTCATTTGGAACTGGAGGGCCCAGCCCGAGTGTGCTTTGCTGCCTTCCTGATGGCCTGTTTTTCTCTCTGAGGATCTTTGGAAGCATTTGGGATGACAGAAATATGTCAAAGGAAGCAAAGTCTGCTCCTATGAAGTGTGGTGTCTGATGACTAACTAATGCCTGAGGCTTCAGGGTTCCTTGTTTTTAACACTTCAGTCTCCTCTCTCGGTTCCTCTAACAGATCCCAGAAAGGGTATAACTAAGCTGCAGTTAACCTTGTGTGCATCCTTCCAATAGAGTACTGTATTCTTCGGGTGTTCTGTATTTGCGTGTAAATCCTCGGGAAACAGGTATCCAAAATGAGAGTGAAATCAAGGCTGTCACGTCAGAAATATCCCAAACAAGATACTCTTTCAAAACAGGGCTCCCTCTCTGTGGTCATGAGGGAAGGTTGATGTGTTCTTGGTTGGGGACCATTTATACGATTTTTTTCAACTGTGAGCTTTGACCCCAGCTTCGACCCCAGCTTCTGTCTACTGCCATAAAAAAAGGACCCCACATCAGAATAATGAGGGTGGTGTGTGTGCACACACCTTCATGGGTGTGCATATGTACCTACTGTACCTTCACAGAAGGAAAACAGGCTACTGAGGTAAAGAGGGGTAGCCACCAGTGCCTAATCTCTTTTGGGGGGGGATGAATGCTTCTAATGCCAGTATATAAAAACCACACCACTGGGAGTTAGTTCCATGTACAGGGGAGGAGCAGTGGGCGGGGGAAGGGGACATTTTAACCCTAGCCCTTGGGACCAGAGGCAGAACACTTTCTGTAAATCGGGTCCTGAAGATTTGGGGGCTCGTGGGCTGGTTCTTTTGTGTTTGCTTCCCAGCATGCATTTCCTGACCCGAGCTCAGATAGTTTGATTTCTTCCGTTCTCGCTTCTGCTCCATTCTAGGGAGGGAAAGTGCACCTGTTAGGGCCCAGATCTCCTTGCTGACACAGAGGCAACAGTAAACGTTGAGCGTGTTTCGGAGCCTCTCTCCCTTCCCTCGCACACCACCACGCCACCCCAGCACCCTCACTCCTGCTCATACGCCATGACTCCCCGGGCACCGTGACTTTCCTTTCCACTCTATCGTCCTCTTCACAGTTGCTTGAAGAAATTTAATTTTGCACTATCCATTTTCATTTTGCCGGACGTGTCTAGCAAACGTGTTTGGAAAGACTTGCCCCCAGCCCCTCCCCTCCCCTTCCCCCCCACCTCCCCGTCACATTCTCTCAGGCCTTCTCTGGTATTTATAATATATCACAGAAGTACCCAGTCTTATAGCCCTCGGTTATGCCTTTTTTTGACATTTTATTTTTTTTAAGCTTTTTATATATATATATATAAATATATTACTTTGTCAAGTTTTTTTGCTGTACAAAAGTCTTAAGATTTAAAACTATTATTTGTATTATATGATGGTGGTATGTTAATGTTACAAAATTATTAATGAAGAAAAAATTTATTTTTGTTACTGGTCTGTTTCATAATTCTTTTTTAAATTGGTATATTGTAAGATATCTATGCAAAAATGTTATGTGACGCATTTTTATTTAAGAATGTAATATGTGTAATAAACAGTAGAATGTGTTTGGCCTTGGGATGGTTCACTATATTTCCCCATCAGCTCATTTCATTAGTGGAAAAAAATCATCAAAGAGATACAAATGACACCTTACAATCTCATACATATTTTCTTTCTTGGGGAAGAGGAGGCAAAAGATGTCATTTCTGTGTGTGTGTGTGTGTGTGTGTGTGTGTGTGTGTGTGTGTGTGTGTGCACTTCATGGTTTCAGTGAATTAAAGGAGAAACAGCAAATGGTTGGAGGTTATGAAAAGCAATATTTTGGAATAAGGTCGATTATGGGATGCTATTTGTTTAGGGAGCTGGGAGCGGCTTATTGGAAGTGGGTTATTTGATGAGGGAAAAGGGGCAGTTTGCTCTGTACTGCTGTTAACCAGGAGTATGTTTGGAAAGGATCATTTGAAGCGGTTTGTGGAGAAGGGATGAGGGGGGACGAGTAGAGGGAATCCCTGAGGTAAAGACAGGGAGTATATACAAGCCACGGTGGGTAAGAAAGGGCAGAAAGTGACTAAGCAGGGCAGCACAACTCCAGCGACTCCACAGAGAAGGAACAGATGCAGATACAAGCACCCCCGGAAGCAAAAGAGGAGAAATCTGAGAGAATTCTCAGAAGGAAGAGACTGCTAACATCATTTCTGCATTGGGCTTCTAGCGGGAGCATCGAGGTAGGAAGTAAGGTGGAGGATCCAACTGCTGTGTGATCCCAGCGTCCCTTGCCCAGCCATTCCCCTAGGGAAGCAGTATTAGTAACTGAAAGCAACAATAAACACTTTGTCTCATGGGGCACACAGCTACTGGGGGTTGCCTTTCATGCTTTGGGCTTCCTGAAATGGATACGATGGCTAAACATCTCTACCCCTCGTCACATAAACCTGGGGAGAAATTTCAGTAAGTGTCCACATTAGAAACCATGACTACAGGGACTGAACCTGCCACAGGAGAGCCGCCTGGACAATGAACTTGGGGAGCAGGGTAGGAACTTCGAGGAGAGATGGGTCATCTTGTTTTCCACGTCAAAGAGCAGTAAGGAAAACAGTGGGCGCTTCGGGGCCAGAGAAATGCTTTGGAAAGTCTAATTCTCAGCTACCACCTCTGAGCAGGCAAGTGGCCCAGACAGGGTGAGAGGCAAGGACTTGACCCGGTGAGGGAACACAGCAGTAGAGCTGCAGAACTCCTCAGTGTCGTCCCCCCCCCCCCGCCCCCGCCAGCCTTTCAGGAGCCTCAGCAGGTGAGCAATGGAATTCTCAGAACCAAAATCATTCTCTAGAAACTTCTCTGAGCGAGAAGGGAAGAAGATAGCTTTGCAGCATTACCTGGAACAAGACTGGCTTGCTCTTCTGCTTCCTTGATTTATGGTGAGGCATCACTCTGGACATTTTAAATGGCTCACACCCTGGGCTGTGCTGGGATGCTGAGAAGAGTGTAAATCTAATCTATATGGCATAAGGAGATGAAATACATAAGGGAATACTCTAGATGGCTAAAGCACCCTCTTTAGAGTCACAATTTTTCTGCTTAGAATAGCTTGTAATATGTGTTACCGACGTCACAACCTTTTGAACATCCTTTTCAAAAACGTGTGTGTGTGTGTGTGTGTGTGTGTGAGTGTGTGAGTGTGTGTGTGTGAGTGTGTGTGTGTGTGTGTGAGTGTGTGAGTGTGTGTGTGAGTGTGTGTGTGTGTGTGTGTGTGTGAGTGTGTGTGTGTGTGTGTGTGTGTGTGTGTGTGTGTGTGTGTAATTTATGTGGAAGTCAGAGGACAACTTTCAGGAGTCGCTTCCGCCATGTGGGGCTCAGAGGTTGAACTCAAATGATCAGGCTTGGGGGCGAACGCCTTTAATTGCTGACCCATCATGCTGGCCCTTGAGCAGCCATTTTATGCAGTATAAATTGGAGGAAAGCTCCAGTCTCTGGGTTTTCCTTCCCTGGCACTGGAAGACTATACTTTATATACAGTAGGAGTTTCACTTTTGTGTGTGTGAGAGAGAGACCTTTGTCCTCTTTGGATGTGACAAAGTTTTTGTTTGACATTTTCTAGATGTACCTTATCTTCTTGTGAAGTCGCAGATCAGATAAGTGAGATTGGGAATGTCTTTTTTAAAAAAAATCAAAAATGCAACCAGAAGCCAACAGTATTCTGAGAGTTTGGTCTGGCTGACCTTGGACTTGAATAGTGTGACCGTGGTGGCATCTGCAATGTGCATTTGTGTGTCTAGTTGAGAATGTCAGACTAATGCTAAGAAGTCTCAGGAAAAAAGCAGAGTTCAATGGAACTGGTAAATAATTTAGTGATTTTTAGCTCATCTTCCACTTACAGATTTAGAAGAGGAGATGGCTACAAATTTTAACTAAAATAGGATTTTGAGGCTACCTACAAGGGATGGATGGATTGCTGGTTGATCTATGATGGGCCAATTTCATCTCCAACTCTCAATGTTTTGTCTGATATTTTTAAAACTCTCAGTATTAACTGGTTTGAATTTTATTACCTTTTAAAAGTACATCTGACTTTGCTATAGCTATACAAAAAACCAAAGCATATTTTTAAATGATGAAATGGTCAAAAAAAATCTACAAGAGGATGGGAGGCTAAGATTTCTGTTTGAAGAGAATTTTTCATTTCCCAAAGCTGTCAAGACTGGATAGGTTGAATAGGCGCTATCCGCTATCCTCGTCATTTGCTTGCTCTCTTAAGTAGAGAAAATGGTCACATTCAAAGACAAACACTGCAAGGTGTCATTCATAAAGAGAATCTTAAAATGTTGAATTCAGAAGCAGAAGGCCACCACAGGCTGAGCGGGGCTGACCAGTCAAAGAAGACAAAATTTCAATTGGAAGGAATAAGTTCAGTAGTTTGTTGGGCCACACACTGACTATAGTCGATTGAAATGGATTCCTTTTTAAAGATTTATTTTTATTATTTTCTATTGTGTGGGGGGGGGGGGCACGCATGCGTGTGTATGTGTGAATGCAGGCTCCATGAAGTCCAGAAGAGGGACTTGGATCCCCTGGAGCTGGAGTTAAAGGCTGTTGTGAGCTGCCTGATGTGGGTGCTGGGAACATAACTCAAGCCTTTTCTGCAAGAGCAGCATTTATCTTAATGGCTAAGCTACCTCTCCAGCCCCAAATAATCATATTCTTGAAAATCCCAAACAGAATAGAAAGTGTTCTCATCATAATAAACAAAGAAATGGGTAAGTATATGAAATATGTTAATCAGATTGCTTTGGGTGCTCCACTATGCAATTCAAAACATCATGTTCTATAATAAATATATACTATTTTTGAAAGTTGAAAATGATTAATAAAGATAAGGAAAGGAACTGGGACCTAAGGAGGACACGAGATTTTGTTGATGCCACATTACACACAGGCCGGAAGTGACCACCAGTTCCTTGCTTCCTAACCTAGTACATTGACTTTTTATTTCCCTGCTTTAGGGAAACCAAGCGCTGCCTTGATGCCTCAAATCACAGCAGGCAACACCGACTCCATCTTCTTGCTTCCTTCCCACCTATCACAGAAAGTTACCCACACAGTAGTTAGAGTTGTCACATGGTAGACGTAGAGAGCATCTTGGAGATGTCTGTTGGTGCCGCTGTATCCCCTTGAGTCAAGAGAAGTTTAGCAGATTCTACTTTGCCCAAGTTCATACAGCGTGTTCTTTGCACAATGAAGTCAGCCCAGGGGTGTTGATAGGTCCTGACTGTGGTCCTTCAATATGAGCTACTCGAGTGTGACATTCAAGAGCCCTGTGATATCTTTGCACTAGTAATTATTTCCCTAGTAATTTTCTGCAGATCAATGTGCTTTCTAAGGCATTAAGTATAGAAGTTTTAGTTTTGTGCTAAGCAAAACTAGTCCCAGATCATTGGCTTGATAACTGTTTTCTTTTAAAATATAAATGAAAATAAGTAAGTAACTCAGAATACAACTACCCGTCTTTGAATGGCATTCAAATGCCCAATTGTTACTGTTGGTACCTGAGAGACATCATTTGTGGTCACTCTCTGAAGTGCCTGCTGGACCGTTTCTTTTTAGCTCATGGTTAGGTCCCTTTGCCTCTCCTTGGAGCACATTTCAAATTGAATCAAAAAGTAAGTGCACGCGAAAATATAATAAAGACTGATTTGATGCCTAGAAAGGTACTTCAGAGCACAGTGCTCTTGCAGCCTCTGTGGCTTATTAGTGAGACAGATGTGCGTGCTCTGCCTCACTTTCCCGTCTTGGAAGGCCCACCTGTCAAGAAATTCTCATGGTGGGTTCAAATGTAGCTTGTGCCAGTAGCTTGGAGATGGAGGCCACAGCAAACACTCCTTTCCTCCTGCCCCAGGGTCAATAGTCAGTGCCTGGAAAGCACTGCATGCTGGGAGGCTCGTTTTCAAAATGGGCTCACCTTCATCCCATGACTCCTGCGTCTCAGGCCAGCACCTATACCCACACATGTACACAGACACACAACTCGGCCTCCTAAATACGTTTGTGATCGTGTTGTAGATCCTTCACGTTCTACTACTAAATATACTTTGCCTGATGTCTTTCCTGTTTTGTAACCTCGACTAGCCAAAAAGAGGCAACTCTTTCTGTCTTATCCATTCTTGAGATGGATGCATCTTAATACAAACAAGTTTATTCTTCCAGGTGAAAGTTTTTCAAGTGCAGAGACAATGAGAGGTATGGTGATTATAGAGAGAGAGAAAAAAACAAAAACAAAAACAGAAGCAATGGCCAACTCTGGAGGTGTAAGCTGCCAGGCAGGCTACACCTTACCCATTACTGCCAGGCCATGGGGCAACCGGGAATCAAGGGACTGAAGGAGAACTTGTTGCCATTAAAGTCCCCCGTGTGATCAAATGAAGAAGCCCTAGGAGCCTGGGTCTGCAGAGCTGATCTCAAGGAACGGCTACTAGGAAATGGGTCACCTCTGGATAAATAACCATGGAAATAGCATGTCCCTGTCATGCAGCTGGGTTTGATCTGTTCTTTGAAGTGACAACTTCCAGTTGAGTCTCTTGGGTA